GGTCTGAAGCCTGACTGGAAGGGGTCGAGATAGCTTGCTTCCTCCAAGGACCGTTGGAGCTGGAAGGCCATGATGATAGTTGTATGTACACTCCAATAAATGATCATAGTAGAAAATGTAGACATGATTCAGACATAAAAATGTAGAATATTCTGAATTGTTTTGCTGGCGAGAAAGACAAGAATCATTGGAAGAGAGGAAGGGAGGGCAGCACTGTCTTCAGTTATCTTTGTCAACTCCAATTTCAAGACTGATAGCTGCTCTGCCAAATATCTGATGTACACTATTGATCAAAGATAACTGTTTTATGTAATGTGAAAAACATCAGTACAATGTTGAATGCTAAAGCATTCTACTTTTTTATTTTTTTGACTCGGAAGAAGGTGATTAAAATAGCATGCGTGCAATTTGAAGCAATAGTAGATGATTGCAGATTGCTTCAATTATTTACTCTCCTGCTTCAAGGCACTGTCTAGTTTGATGATCCAAATAATATAATTTGCCCAGCATTTTTCCTGTCCACTCAAGATTAGAAAAGGGAAATGTCATGTTATAGTTCTGTACTAAATCAATATATGATTTACCAAATGGAATGGAAAGATAAAAAGTGTTTTTGCTGTATAGTTCCTTGGTACTTAGCACTTAAACTAATAAAAAAATTGTGGGGAAAGCTGATTCATGGACAACTTTCTCTTATCCTATTTTTCTTGTCTAAGGAAGAAAGTTAGTCCAATACGTTCACAGAATAGAACTCTGCAAAACTGATGTTTCTTCGACTGCATAGAAAAGTGGTTTCATTAATTCTGCTGTGCATCCATAACTTTTTGCTGAAGTGTTGAGAGACCTTGTAATACATGGGTGTCAAACTGAAGGCCCGGGAGCTGGAGCTGGCCCATGGGGTGTTTAGATCTGGCTCCTGAGGCTGCCCTGGAAATACTGAACACCAGTGCCTCTGCCAGCAAAAATGGAGCTCGCAAGGGTTACACGTGGTTCCCTGAACTCTGCTTTCGCTGGCAGAGGGTTGCAGGAGGCTGTCTCATCCAAAAATGGAACTTGGCAGCCCATTTTCACTGGCAGAGTACTTGGGCCACCAAAGGCGCCCTCCCCCGACATGAATGACATCATTCTAGCCAGGATCACCCCAACCCCTGAGGTCAAACACAATCCTGATGCATACCTCAATGAAATCATGTTTGACACCCCTATTGTAGAAGATAACCTGGGCCCAAGTCAAATAGAGTTTGTACATCAAATATATCACTTTAAATTGTATGTGGAAGTTTATTTATTTATTTATTNTCTATCTCATACATTAGTTTCACTTTTTAAATTGCATTACTGAAATAACTGAACTTTTGCACGATATTCTAATTTTTCGAGCTTCACCTGTATCTGTTGCCAATGATAGCTAAGAGATTTCTCTGTATTCTAAATGAATAAGCAGAAGGGCCTATTTCTACAATCCAATGTATTTGCATGGTATCAGGAAGAACAACTGAACTGAAAGCTACAACCAAATGCTACTTTTAATCTTGCTATAAAAAAAATGTGATTTCAGACATTCCAGGATCTTCATTTCAAGAGCCATGTCATTATAATAACCCAGATAAGCCAGGAATTCATGTAGATTTAGACATGGTAAAAGATAGCTATTTGCTGACCATCTATAAATGCATTATCAAAAGGCTTATTAACCCATACCAGTTTAATAATGAAGCACTCTTGTCAAAGTTACAATGAAATATATCAACAGTTTTGATTACACAGTAAGACTGGAGAACACATTATAGAATTCAGAAGTAGACTATCAAAATTGGGCATTTTTTGGAACAGCCCAAACTAAGACTTAAATCCCAGAATTCTCATTTAATTGGTCCCAGATAAAAGCTACAATAATGGAAACAGCTTGTTATATGGATCATCACCATAACCCTGCAGATCTTTCCGTGTAGCAGACAGGAACACAAACAATGGAGGGAGGAATTTGTTAAAATAATGGGGACATTATTTCATACCATGGTTGCTGTGAGAAGGTATCTATTCTCCACAGTATCTACTGGTAGATGTTAAATGTGTAATCCTAAACTTATTTTTTAAAACTATTTTGATATTTTATAGTTTATGAAGATTCTGCTAACAAGCCAATTTTACATTGCAATCTATATGAAAACATATACACTGTTCTTCATATGCAATGAGCAAATATATTCAATGCACATATATTTTGGGGAAGTACAAATACATGGGGTTGCGTATACTATGCATACTTACCGGCCTAAAATATTTAATGGACTCTGCAAAATCTGAAATAATTGAGATTTGCCAGTAGTCATTGGAGTGGATGCTTTGCCTGGTCTAAATGCTAACAGCTCTTATACTTAGCCCCAGGAAATAATGTTCTTGAGATGCAGCTTTCCTCATACCTAATTGGATTCACTAACAGCAGTGATCCACTAAACCACTTTTACTTCATAAAGTTAATTGCGCAAGGGAACAGCTTCTGGTAGTCTTATCTGATCCTTCAGAATTAAACCTGAAGGAAGAGAGCAATGGCCTTTCTCCTGAATGAGGAAATGGAACAAGATACTTAGTACTAGTGAGAAGGTCATTGATGCTGTGAAATTCACCAAGAACAGCCTTTGATGGCCCCTGAAAAGCTGGAATTGTTCTTGAAACTAAGGACAAAAACCCAACTGTACACATGCCAAGCTATTCATTGCATCTATTGCAGTTTGCACAGAGCACTAAATGTACATTTTAAAAAATGAGTGGCATTGAACAAACATGACTTTTTAAAAAGCATGGATATATGGCCTCTGAACGTACCGAGCAAGATGAAGCACTGCCTCGACAATATTAGAGCCGTCTTTAGCACTTGTTTCACAGAATAGTGCACTGTAAGCCTAGAAGGTTAAAAAAAATTTCAGAAAGCATATTAATTACCTTTATGGAAATTCAATTCAAAAAAAGATTAAAAGACAAAACTGAACATAAAATAACTAATTGCTTTTGTTCAATAGGATACCTTCCAAATGTTCTCGACATCAACTTCTATCATCTCCAGCTATTATGCAGGCTGAAAATTGTAGAAGTCGATGTCCAAAATTTCTAGAAGTGCCAAAGGATTGAAATATTGCATGAAATAACTGTTACTTTTCAAATGTTTTCTAACACTCACTAAACTACAATATCAGTATCAATTTTTTAAAAAATCAAGTTCTTATACATTGCCTGAACCTCAAGGATTCAACTTCTAACAGTTCAAACTTCCATTTCAATATGTGATTCTATTTTCAATATTATCTTTTTTATTTTTGCAAGCTATTGCCTCCATCATTCTTACCATGGCCAATTTTTCTCCATAGCTGAGAGGTACGCATGTCAGTCCTTCTTCAGAAGCTGTCTGACGAAGATCTGATTTGTTTCCCACCATCATGATTGGGATATTTTCATGTGTGGCATCCTAAAATGAGTAGAACTTTTAATGCTGGGGCTTCTGATGTAAAATCCAAAATACAGATTTTTAACAGTCTAATGCAGTGATGGCTAACCTTTTTGTCCTTGTGTGCCAAAAGTGTGTGCACACGACAGAGCATGCCCGCGTGCCCACACCCATAATGTAATGTGCATGCAACCTCCCCCCGCTCCCCCCTGCACTTGTGTATACGAATACCATCCCCGCATCCCGTTTTGGGCTAGCAGGCCTCCCTGAAGCTTCCTGGGAGCAAAAATGGGGCGCAGAGGGGGTACTGTCCCCTGTGCTTCCCCCACCCCCATCGCATGTGCACGCAACCCCCCGTCCTGCACATGCACGTGCACCTCCCGCATTCACGGCAGAGACCTAAAAAACTGCTGGCCAGTGGAGGCACTCGTGCATGTGCAATAGAGCTGAGCTGAGTGACAGCTCACATACCCACAGAGAGGGCTTGCATGCCACCTGTGGCACACATCAAGGGTCTAATGCATCCAAAAAAAATATTATTATTATTAGAGTTTCACCTCGCTTTCAATTAGCTTAAATAAAAAAACTGTTGTGTTACTATATCTTATATATTAATATATATTTATTAGTTAAATGTATATGTTGCCCATCTCACAAGAGGAGACTCTAGGCTGTAAACAACAACAAAATATAAAATAATAAGCGTGTAAAAAACATCCTATTAAAAGTTTTTTTAAGCATAAAAATACACAAGACACCCCCAGTCCTGATGACATAGCCAGGTCTTGAGGGACTTCCAGAAAACATTTGGGGATGGAGTTGACCTCATACTTCGTACAGGTAGTTCTTGACTTACAACCACAATGGAGCCCACAATTTCTGTTGCCAAATGAAACATCTGTTAAGTGAATTATGCTCCATTTTACGATCCTTCTTGCCACAGTTGCTAAATGAATCCCTCCAGTTATTAAGTTAGTGACACCCCATTGACTTTGGTGGTCAGAAGGTTGCAAAAAAGTGACCATATGGCCTTGGGACACTGCAGCCATCATAAATACACTGTATTGCCAAAAGTATTTGCTCACCCATCCACATAATCAGAAGCAATTGTGAGCAAATACTTTTGGCAATACAGTGTATGAATCAATTGCCAAGTTCAATCCAAATTTTGGTCACATGACCATGGGGATGCTGCAACGGTTGTAACTGTCAAAAACAGTCTTAAGTCACATATTTCAGTTCAGTTGTAACTTTGAACGGTCATTAAATGAACTGCTGTAAGTCAAGGACTACCTGTACGGCAACACACTGAATCTGAATCATCTTAACCATTAATAACATTTCAAACACAGGTTTCCTTAAAAAGTCTTGTAAGATCCAAACATCCTTACCGATATCATATCCACCCATTCTCGTACATTAAGAAAGCTTTTCTCACAGGTAACATCATACAGTAGAAGCACTCCATCTGCTCTTCTGAAGTAAGACTTAGCAATACTTCGGAACCTTTTAAAAAAAAGTTAAAAATTTGCTGTAGTTCTTCTATCCCGCTTTTCCCCCCTTAGTCTGTAGAACAGGTTAAGTTCGGTAGATTAAAATCAAACATCTGATCCATAAAGATGGTGGGGAAGAAATAAAGATAGTAAAGGCTGCATTATATAACCTTTAAGTTGGTACTAATAATATAGTGGCAATTTAGGATTAGTTTGAACTTTAAAGAAGCAGTGCCTTAAGAGACCAATGGGCCACTTTTTTACAAGATCAGGTATCAATACCAGATGTCCTGTAATTGTTCCAGAGTAAAATGCCTTATCATTGTTAGGGCATTTGCTATGGCATTCTAAAGCCATTTTCCTTAACTCTCCAAAATGTACTAGGTTTCCTGACATTGTTATGGAGATTCTAATATCACTAACTTACAGGACATAATTTCCTAATACAGATCTTTTATTTCAAATAAAATCAGATAAATTTAACTAACCTCTCTTGACCAGCAGTATCCCAAAGCTGTAGCACCGTAGGTTCTCCATCAACAATGAGTCTCTTCATTTGGAAGTCAACACCTTAAAATAAATAACATCCTTTAATGCACTGCATAGCCATCCTTTAATTCAATGAAGGTTAAGAATCTAGAATTTATCTATAGGATTAAACCTAAAAATATAACCAGAGTTAAATAAGTGAGATTACTGAGAATTCTGGGGCAAGAATGGGAGCTCACCCCTCACACAGTGCTTAGATCTTGAACTGCCAACCTTCCGGTTGTCAAACCAAGCGTCTAGGATGATAAAAAGATATAATAAAATAGAAAACTGCACTGTACCATCTGGGTATTTTGTCCACTTCCAAATATGAAGAATGAGAAATAACTTCCCCCTCACAGAATCAAGTCTTTGACTCTGCTTTTAACAGATGACATTTCCCCATCAGCTTCTGAGGTTTGGAGCTCAATAAAGTTACTGTCCTGACAATGTTGGCACTAAAAGGACAACTGCAAATGAGAATGCCCCTTTGGCAGCATCTTTTAGATCTTTGAGCTGAAGATCTCAACATTTCATTTTCATGTGCATTTAGGTTTTTGAAGAAGGCTAAACCTAGGCTGCTAGTTATTGTAGCTTGAAGGGGTGGGGCAGAAGGAAATAAATTGTCTGGCAATAAGCATGCGAGTAGAGGGGTCATGCTGCGGACCTGACATTCGAGGGATTTCCATTGGCAGTTGCTTGTCCTGTTATTTTGGATTCTTTTCTGTTGATCTTTACATTTTATAACTCTACAACAGCCCACTTCAACATTGTCTACATTCTACAGGACAGTTAGTCTAATCTGCTGCTCAGTGCAGGAATCCAGTAAATCAATCCCAACAAGTGAACATTTAACCTGCACTGAAAACTCCAACAAATTAAAATCCATCACTGTTCCAGCTGATTATTACACTGGAGTGTTTAATTGTTCTCTCAGGAAATTCTCAGATTTGTATCAAAGTAATATAGTGTCAAAATCTCCATCTCTCTGCCACTTTACTGACTGTCCCCCGTTTCCCTTTTAACTTCAACAGAAGTTTTGAGATAAGTCAGGACAAAGTCATATAAGATGTCTTATGGACCTTGGAAAAAGTCAAATGTAGAGGTGATTGAAAGTCAATGTTATAATCAAAACATGGTCTCTATATTTTGAGAGAAAAAATATCTTCAAAGCTCATCTATTAGCTCAAGCAGTTATGGGTGCCCTAGAAAAAGAAAATATAAAAAAACATACCTAGAGTTGCACTGGTATTCCCTCGAAATTCATTTTTGCAAAGCCTCATAAGAAAGCTAGATTTTCCAACAGCTGCATCCCCGGCAAGAACTATCTTGTAGGCCTTGTCTGAGCTGGGGTATCTGGAATTGCTGTGTATAGAATCAACCTAACATAGCAAAACATGTAACCATATTGACAACATTAAAATAATACTAAGCTTTGATTCAGCAATCTTATTTTTAAAACATATGTTAGACTGTCAGCGCTAAGCCTGGAACACTGGAGCAACAAATAGCATGTGTATCTACCCTGTTTCCTGGAAAATAAGACCTGCACAGATAATAAGCCCAATCGGGCTTTTGAATGCATGCACTAAAATAAGCCCTCCCCAAAAAATAAGCTCTCCCTGAAAATATTGCAACA